ACTCAGGGCCTTTCAGAGTGGAGTTTGCATGTTCTACCCGTGTCTGTAGGGTTTCTCCAGGTGCTACAGTTTCCCCTAACGATAGAAACCTGATAGTTCTGACTGTAGGGAGAGAGAGAAGGTGAGGCCCGTGTGACCTTGGAGGGTGAAGCTTGTGATAAAAATAAATATGACTTAGTAACTCACATTCTTCACATTCTTCACGTTCTCCCAGCATCTCGTTAGCATCTCGTTAGCATCTCGTTAGCACAGCTCTGGGTCTCGATGCTGAGACTGCAGGAATCGCACTTAATAAACCAATAAAGTCAGGAATTAATTCAGAGCACGACTCCTGATTTACATTCAGCAAGAGAGGGAGGGGGAGGGAGGGGAGGAGAGGACAGAGGGAGAGAGAGAGGGAGAGGGGGAGAGAGGGAGAGGGAGAGAGAGAGAGAGAGAGTGGGGGGGTAGAGGAGAGAGATAGGAGAGAGAGAGGAGAGGGAGAGAGAGGGTTAGGATGTAAGCCTTGAGGGAAACTGGTCTCTCTCTCTGCTCTCTCTCTGGTCTCTCTCTGGTCTCTCTCTCTGCTCTCTCTGGTCTCTCTCTCTCTGCTCTCTCTCTGGTCTCTCTCTCTGCTCTCTCTCTGGTCTCTCTCTGGTCTCTCTCTCTGCTCTCTCTCTGCTCTCTCTGGTCTCTCTCTCTCTCTCCTCTCTTTCTGGTCTCCCTCTAGTCCCTCTCTGGTCTCTCTCTGCTCTCTCTCTACTCTCTCTCTGCTCTCTCTCTAGTCTCTCTCTGGTCTCTCTCTGGTCTCTCTCTGGTCTCTCTCTCTGGTCTCTCTCTGGTCTCTCTCTCTGGTCTCTCTCTGCTCTCTCTCTGGTCTCTCTCTCTGCTCTCTCTCTGGTCTCTCTCTGCTCTCTCTCTGGTCTCTCTCTGGTCTCTCTCTGCTGTCTTTCTGGTCTCTCTCTCTGGTCTCTCTCTGGTCTCTCTCTGGTCTCTCTCTCTGGTCTCTCTCTGGTCTCTCTCTGGTCTCTCTCTCTGGTCTCTCTCTGGTCTCTCTCTACTCTTTATCTGCTCTCTCTGATCTCTCTCTGGTCTCTCTCTGGTCTCTCTCTCTGCTCTCTCTCTGCTCTCTCTGGTCTCTCTCTCTCTGCTCTCTCTCTGGTCTCTCTCTCTGCTCTCTCTCTGGTCTCTCTCTGGTCTCTCTCTCTGCTCTCTCTCTGCTCTCTCTGGTCTCTCTCTCTCTGCTCTCTTTCTGGTCTCCCTCTAGTCCCTCTCTGGTCTCTCTCTACTCTCTCTCTGCTCTCTCTCTACTCTCTCTCTGCTCTCTCTCTAGTCTCTCTCTGGTCTCTCTCTGGTCTCTCTCTGGTCTCTCTCTCTGGTCTCTCTCTGGTCTCTCTCTCTGGTCTCTCTCTGCTCTCTCTCTGGTCTCTCTCTCTGCTCTCTCTCTGGTCTCTCTCTGCTCTCTCTCTGGTCTCTCTCTGGTCTCTCTCTGCTGTCTTTCTGGTCTCTCTTCTCTGGTCTCTCTCTGGTCTCTCTCTGGTCTCTCTCTCTGGTCTCTCTCTGGTCTCTCTCTGGTCTCTCTCTCTGGTCTCTCTCTGGTCTCTCTCTGGTCTCTCTCTCTGGTCTCTCTCTGGTCTCTCTCTGGTCTCTCTCTCTGGTCTCTCTCTGGTCTCTCTCTCTGGTCTCTCTCTCTGGTCTCTCTCTGGTCTCTCTCTGGTCTCTGATCTCTCTCTGGTCTCTCTCTGGTCTCTCTCTGGTCTCTCTCTGGTCTCTCTCTCTGGTCTCTCTCTGGTCTCTCTCTGCTCTCTCTCTGGTCTCTCTCTGCTCTCTCTCTGGTCTCCCTTTAGTCTCTCTCTTTCGTGATGGTCCTAATGTAGTAAACTGTGTGACCTACTTTTCCAGAGTAAATGTAGAATGCACATCTGTGAGAGTTTCCGCTGCTGAAGACGGATCACAACATTATTCATTTATTTACAAAGTTTATTGTATAGCACAGTCCACACACAACTCAAAGTGCTGAAAACACGATAGAAACATGAGAATCCTAAAGAATCACAGAGCATGAAAAAGAGAAAAGATTCAAACCTAGAAACTGGATTTGAACATTGTCAGAGAAGAAGTCTGTGTCACATTTTCAGGAAGACTGTTCCAGGTTTTCGCTGCATGAATCCATGTTGAGTCCTGGTCGGTCTGAGAATGAAAAACACCTGGGAGCTACATGTGCAGATTTTTTCTATTTTGAATCTAGCGCCATAGTTCAGGCTTCAGGGAGGTGTGGCCTGATCTGAAACGTTCTAGTCCTAGTCTGGGACCAGCAGGAGAGCGGTCCCTGTGCTCCTCAGAGTCCAAGCAGGAGGCTGGTCTCTATCTGGTCCCTCTCTCTCCCTTGTCTCTCTCTGGTCTCTCTCTGGTCCTTCTCTCTTTCTGGTCTCTCTCTGGTCTCTCTCTGTTCTATCTCTGGTCTCTCTCTGGTCTCTTTCTGGTCTCTCTCTGTTCTATCTCTGGTCTCTCTCTGGTCTCTCTCTGGTCTCTCTCTGGTCTCTCTCTCTGGTCTCTCTCTGGTCTCTCTCTGGTCTCTCTCTCTGGTCTCTCTCTGGTCCCTCTCTCTGGTCGCTCTCTCTGGTCTCTCTCTGGTCTCTCTCTGGTCTCTCTGGTCTCTCTCTGGTCTCGCTCTGTTCTATCTCTGGTCTCTCTCTGGTCTCTTTCTGGTCTCTCTCTGTTCTATCTCTGGTCTCTCTCTGGTCTCTCTCTGGTCTCTCTCTCTGGTCTCTCTCTGGTCTCTCTCTCTGGTCTCTCTCTCTGGTCTCTCTCTGGTCTCTCTCTCTGGTCTCTCTCTGGTCTCTCTCTCTGGTCTCTCTCTGGTCTCTCTCTGGTCTCTCTCTCTGGTCTCTCTCTCTGGTCTCTCTCTGGTCTCTCTCTCTGGTCTCTCTCTCTGGTCTCTATCTGGTCTCTCTCTCTGGTCTCTCTCTGGTCTCTCTCTGGTCTCTCTCTGGTCTCTCTCTGGTCTCTCTCTCTGGTCTCTCTCTCTGGTCTCTCTCTGGTCTCTCGCTGGTCTCTCTCTGGTCTCTCTCTGGTCTCTCTCTGGTCTCTCTCTGGTCTCTCTCTCTGGTCTCTCTCTGGTCTCTCTCTGGTCTCTCTCTCTGGTCTCTCTCTGGTCTCTCTCTCTGGTCTCTCTCTGGTCCTTCTCGCTGGTCTCTCTCTGGTCTCTCTCTCTGGTCTCTCTCTGGTCTCTCTCTCTGGTCTCTCTCTCTGGTCTCTCTCTGGTCTCTCTCTCTGGTCTCTCTCTGGTCTCTCTCTGGTCTCTCTCTCTGGTCTCTCTCTCTGGTCTCTCTCTGGTCTCTCTCTCTGGTCTCTCTCTCTGGTCTCTATCTGGTCTCTCTCTCTGGTCTCTCTCTGGTCTCTCTCGGGTCTCTCTCTGGTCTCTCTCTGGTCTCTCTCTGGTCTCTCTCTGGTCTCTCTCTGGTCTCTCTCTCTGGTCTCTCTCTGGTCTCTCTCTCTGGTCTCTCTCTGGTCTCTCTCTGGTCTCTCTCTGGCTTCTCTCTGGTCTCTCTCTCTGGTCTCTCTCTGGTCTCTCTCTCTCTGGTCTCTCTCTGGTCTCTCTCTCTGGTCTCTCTCTGGTCTCTCTCTCTGGTCTCTCTCTGGTCTCTCTCTCTGGTCTCTCTCTGGTCTCTCTCTCTGGTCTCTCTCTCTGGTCTCTCTCTGGTCTCTCTCTGGTCTCTCTCTGGTCTCTCTCTCTGGTCTCTCTCTGGTCTCTCTCTCTGGTCTCTCTTTCTGGTCTCTCTCTGGTCTCTCTCTCTGGTCTCTCTCTGGTCTCTCTCTCTGGTCTCTCTCTCTGGTCTCTCTCTGGTCTCTCTCTCTGGTCTCTCTCGCTGGTCTCTCTCTGGTCTCTCTCTCTGGTCTCTCTCTGGTCTCTCTCGCTGGTCCCTCTCGCTTGTCTCTCTCTGGTCTCTCTCTGGTCTCTCTCTCTGGTCTCTCTCTGGTCTCTCTCTGGTCTCTCTCTCTGGTCTCTCTCTCTGGTCTCTCTCTTGTCTCTCTCTGGTCTCTCTCTGGTCTCTCTCTGGTCTCTCTCTCTGGTCTCTCTCTTGTCTCTCTCTGGTCTCTCTCTGGTCTCTCTCTGGTCTCTCTCTGGTCTCTCTCTGGTCTCTCTCTGACTTGAGACAGTGTTTCCCATAAAACCCTCGGGTGATTAAAGCTAATGTAGCAACAGATGCTAAATATAGCCGCCACGTACTAATGCTAATGAGATGCTAATGAGATGCTAATGAGATGCTAATGACATGCTAATAGAGCACACATGTTCTTGGTGCAGGTTTATTGGCGGGTGGCACTCAACTTAAAGGTGCATTTCCTCCACCTACTGTAGCGCACAGACTGTAGTGAGTGAGGCTGCTGTCGCCCCCGTGTGGACAGAAGGGGAAGCTCCGGCCCTACTATACATTGTGAAGCGTGTGTGATACAAATAAACATGACTCGTGTGTGTATCTGTGTGTCTCTCTGTGTGTTAATGTGTATGTCTCTGTGTGTGTGTCTATGTGTCTCTCTGTGTGTTAATGTGTATGTCTCTGTGTGTGTGTCTATGTGTCTCTCTGTGTGTTAATGTGTATGTCTCTGTGTGTGTGTGTCTATGTGTCTTTCTGTGTGTTAATGTGTATGTCTCTGTGTGTGTGTCTATGTGTCTCTCTGTGTGTTAATGTGTATGTCTCTGTGTGTGTGTGTCTATGTGTCTCTCTGTGTGTTAATGTGTATGTCTCTGTGTGTGTGTGTCTATGTGTCTCTCTGTGTGTTTTTCTGTGTTAATATGTGTGTCTGTGTGTCTCTCTATCTTTCTGTGTGTCTGTGTGTCTCTCTGTGTGTGTTTGTGTGTGTCTGTGTGTTTCTGTATGTGTGTGTGTGTGTTAATGTGTGTGTCTGTGTGTGTTGCAGGGCAGTGGTTGAAGCCCAGCCGGACGTCTCGTATGAGGGAGAAGAGAGCTGACTTTGTGTGTGGTCGTCTGGGAGGAAGAGTCATCGTCATCGGAGGACTAGGTCTGTCCACATGGTCTCTGTCCACATGGTCTCTGTCCACATAGTCTGTTCACATAGTGTCTGTCCTCATGGTGTCTGTCCTCATGGTCTCTGTCCACATGGTGTCTGTCCTCATGGTGTCTGTCCACATGGTGTCTGTCCTCATGGTGTCTGTCCTCATGGTCTCTGTCCTCATGGTCTCTGTCCTCATGGTGTCTGTCCTCATGGTGTCTGTCCTCATGGTCTCTGTCCACATGGTGTCTGTCCACATGGTGTCTGTCCTCATGGTGTCTGTCCTCATGGTGTCTGTCCTCATGGTCTCTGTCCTCATGGTCTCTGTCCTCATTGTCTGTCCTCATGGTCTCTGTCTCAGTGTCTGGCCACATGGTCTCTGCCCCCATGGTCTCTGTCTCAGTGTCTGGCCACATGGTCTCTGTCCACATGGTGTCTGTCCCCATGGTGTTTGTCTCAGTGTCTGGCCACATGGTTTCTGTCCCCATGGTGTTTGTCTCAGTGTCTGGCCACATGGTTTCTGTCCACATGGTCTCTGTCTCAGTGTCTGGCCACATGGTCTCTTTCCACATTGTCTCTGTCCTCATGGTCTCTGTCTCAGTGTCTGTCCTCATGGTCTCTGCCCCCATGGTCTCTGTCTCAGTGTCTGGCCACATGGTCTCTTTCCACATTGTCTCTGTCCTCATGGTCTCTGTCTCAGTGTCTGGCCACATGGTTTCTGTCCCCATGGTGTTTGTCTCAGTGTCTGGCCACATGGTTTCTGTCCCCATGGTGTTTGTCTCAGTGTCTGGCCACATGGTTTCTGTCCACATGGTCTCTGTCTCAGTGTCTGGCCACATGGTCTCTTTCCACATTGTCTCTGTCCTCATGGTCTCTGTCTCAGTGTCTGTCCTCATGGTCTCTGCCCCCATGGTCTCTGTCTCAGTGTCTGGCCACATGGTCTCTTTCCACATTGTCTCTGTCCTCATGGTCTCTGTCTCAGTGTCTGTCCTCATGGTCTCTGCCCCCATGGTCTCTGTCTCAGTGTCTGGCCACATGGTCTCTGTCCACATGGTGTCTGTCCCCATGGTGTTTGTCTCAGTGTCTGTCCACATGGTTTCTGTCCACATGGTGTCTGTCTCAGTGTCTGGCCCATAGACTATATATAAACGGACGTAGTCACGCCTATCTCCGCCGTTCTAACTAATGGGCCAAAAATAGTGCTCTACTGGAGCAATCCAAAATGGCCGTGAGTGGTCCCGCCCACAAGGAAACGGTCAGCACTAGATCATATACGGAATCTGGACGGAAGCGGAAGTAAATATAACAAACTACCTATTCATGCCTAAACTTAACCAGACATTCCCATAAAATAACCCCAACCCAGACTTAACCCTAACCTTAACCATCTTACTCAGACCACCTTAACCCTAACCTTAACCATCTTACTCAGACGCTAATTCGAAAGTAGGATTGTTACTTCCGGTTTTGTCCCGATTCTGTTTATGATCTAGTGCCGACCACAATGAAATTGTGAAAAAACGCATCTGCGCATGCGTCAGCTGCACGAGCCCCATTCATTTGAACGAGTGACTTCTAAAGTCCACAGCGACTAAACTAGAGTGGTCCAGAACACTCAGCATTGACACACATGTGGAACGGAGCTTTGGGCCAAGAGCCACTTTTGGTCCATCCTGTAAAGACGTTTTCCAGAGGTCTGCCAACGCTATATGTTAGCATTGGCTAATTCTTATTCCGGGTCCACCCCCATCGGCCCGGGGTGGTACTGCAGCATGTCAGCGCACCTCATTTTGGCCACTTTTTAGCCGGGACCCGCCCCCACTGGTCTGGCCACAGGGGGCGCTACAGGCCATTATGGCTCTGTTCAAATACTAAACATTGTAAACAGTGTTAGCCCCGCCCTGATTATAATATCTGGAGTGTAACAGTTTGGAGCTGAAGGACCATGTGCTCGGGGGATTCCCACGGTACGGCAAACTAAACCAGAGAACCTGACAGAGAACCTGACAGAGAACCTGACAGAGAACCTACAGAGAACCTGACAGAGAACCTGACAGAGAACCTGACAGAGAACCTGACAGAGAACCTACAGAGAACCTGACAGAGAACCTACAGAGAACCTGACAGAGAACCTGACAGAGAACCTGACAGAGAACCTGACAGAGAACCTACAGAGAACCTGACAGAGAACCTACAGAGAACCTACAGAGAACCTACAGAGAACCTGACAGAGGACCTGACAGAGAACCTACAGAGAACCTGACAGAGAACCTGACAGAGAACCTGACAGAGAACCTGACAGAGAACCTACAGAGAACCTGACAGAGAACCTACAGAGAACCTACAGAGAACCTACAGAGAACCTGACAGAGGACCTGACAGAGAACCTACAGAGAACCTGACAGAGAACCTGACAGAGAACCTGACAGAGAACCTGACAGAGAACCTACAGAGAACCTGACAGAGAACCTGACAGAGAACCTACAGAGAACCTACAGAGAACCTGACAGAGAACCTACAGAGAACCTGACAGAGAACCTACAGAGAACCTGACAGAGAACCTACAGAGAACCTACAGAGAACCTACAGAGAACCTGACAGAGAACCTGACAGAGAACCTACAGCTTTTATAAAGATTGGATTCTGTGGGGATGTTAGTGTCCCTTGTCGTTCTGAACTGTTTTTCTTCTTAAATCCTTCGGTTTTCTTTAAATCCACACTTTACTGCCACAAACTCTGCTCCTTTCCTTCCCGCTCTGACTCCGCCCTGCTGCAGCTCTGATTGGTTGGATGCGCGGCCGAGCCCCTCTGTGCACGTGCACGAGAGCCACACACGTGTATTTGGCGCAACGCTCTCTGTCAGCTGAGGTCGACATGTTTTAATTTACATTGAGTTCTATGGGACTTTTTTCTGGGTAGCCCTCGTGAATTTAGTCTGCAGTTCCACAGCGCCCCCTGTGGCCATGGGTGGGACAGCTGTAAGCTAGTAATACTCTATCCAGTTATTATTATAGATCCATGCACAAGAGCCTGTAAACAGATGGACAATGCTAACCTGCTAACTTATTGTTCTCTGGTCTCTCTCTGGTCTCTCTCTGGTCTCTCTCTGGTCTCTCTCTGGTCTCTCTCATGTCTTTCTCTGGTCTCTCTCTGGTCTCTCTCATGTCTTTCTCTGGTCTCTCTCTGGTCTCTCTCTGGTCTCTCTCTGGTCTCTCTCATGTCTTTCTCTGGTCTCTCGCTGGTCTCTCTCTGGTCTCTCTCTGGTCTCTCTCTGGTCTGCAGGTAACGAGCCCTCCCCCCTGTCCTCTGTGGAGTCCTTTAACCCGGTGAAGCGGCGCTGGGAGGCGGAGTCTCCGATGCCGACGCCGCGCTGCTCCTCCACGCTGCTGCAGACGGACGCCATGATGTTCGTGATCGGAGGAGTCTCACAGGGACCATGTGACGCAGTGGAGGCTCTGTGTGCTCAGGACCACTGACAGGTCTCTCTCTCTAGTCTCTCTCTGGTCTCCCTCTGGTCTCTCTCTAGTCTCTCTCTGGTCTCTCTCTGGTCTCTCTCTGGTCTCTCTCGAGTCTCTCTCTGGTCTCTCTCTGGTCTCTCTCTGGTCTCTCTCTGGTCTCTCTCTAGTCTCTCTAGTCTCTCTCTCTGGTCTCTCTCTAGTCTCTCTCTGGTCTCTCTCTGGTCTCTCTCTGGTCTCTCTCTGGTCTCTCTCTGGTCTCTCTCTGGTCTCTCTCTGGTCTCTCTCTCTGGTCTCTCTCTGGTCTCTCTCTAGTCTCTCTCTGGTCTCTCTCTGGTCTCTCTCTCTAGTCTCTCTCTGGTCTCTCTCTGGTCTCTCTCTGTTCTCTCTCTCTAGTCTCTCTCTGGTCTCTCTCTGGTCTCTAACCCTTGTCTCTGTACCCCTCAGTATCGGGCGTTCTGATTGGCTGTTGGACTCTTCAGTGTGGATGCTGCTGTGAACATTTTCCGAAGAAAACATTTTTTAAAGTTTAAACTGATGACAATCGACCAACGCTGACGAAGGAGTGAGACTCGAACCTGGACTCGACCAGAGCGAGATCCTCCGCGTTCTCCTACGTGTCCCGGGGTCAGGGGTCAACAGGAACATGTGCCATATGTGTCTGTGAGAGAGCGCCCCCACAGGGGACTGCAGGGAACTACAGCTGAGAGGCTGAGAAGAAATGTGTCTACTCTGCTCTACTCTGCTCTACTCTACTCTGCTCTGCTCTGCTCTACTCTACTCTACTCTACTCTACTCTACTCTACTCTGCTCTGCTCTACTGTACTCTACTCTACTCTGCTCTACTCTACTCTGCTCTGCTCTACTTTACTCTACTCTACTCTGCTCTGCTCTGCTCTGCTCTACTCTACTCTGCTCTGCTCTACTCTACTCTACTCTGCTCTGCTCTGCTCTGCTCTACTCTACTCTACTCTACTCTGCTCTACTCTACTCTACTCTGCTCTGCTCTGCTCTGCTCTACTCTGCTCTACTCTACTCTACTCTACTCTGCTCTGCTCTGCTCTGCTCTGCTCTGCTCTGCTCTACTCTACTCTACTCTACTCTACTCTACTCTACTCTACTCTACTCTACTCTACTCTACTCTACTCTACTCTACTCTGCTCTACTCTGCTCCACTGTTCTCTACTCTACTGTACTGTACTATAGTAGACCAGCTCAGCCTGGCTATAACCAGGACCAAGAGGGACTAAAGAAGGACCTGGTACCCAAGCAGAGTAGAGTAGAGCAGAGCAGAGCAGAGCAGAGTAGAGTAGAGTAGAGTAGAGTAGAGTAGATAAACAATACTTTCACATGCATATGAAGGACTGTAGCAAGTTACAGTCATTAAAGCTGAGGTCTGTAACTTCAGCCTCATCAATAACATGTTTCAGAGCTGACGAGGACCTCTGTCACTTAGTTTTAAAGTGCTGGACCCTGCAGTCTCGCCTAGTCCACTGAGTCTGGCCGAGTCTGGTCCGAGTCTGGTCCGAGGTTATCTGAGATCTCTGTCTCAGACTGATGCTGTGTTTGACATCAGCTGCAGACAAACACAAAAACAAGTTTCAGATCCGAGACGTTAGAATCTGGAGCACACTGATCACAGAAGATGAGACGCTTCACACGGATCAGGACTAATGAGGTCTGCAGAGACAGCCTCTCTGGTCTCTCTCTGGTCTCTCTCTGGTCTCTCTCTGGTCTCTCTCTGGTCTCTCACTGGGCTCTCTCTGGTCTCTCTCTGGTCTCTCTCTGGTCTCTCTCTGGTCTCTCTCTGGGCTCTCTCTGGTCTCTTTCTGGTCTCTCACTGGGCTCTCTCTGGTCTCTTTCTGGTCTCTCACTGGGCTCTCTCTGGTCTCTTTCTGGTCTCCCTCTGGTCTCTCTCTGGTCTCTCTCTGGTCTCTTTCTGGTCTCTCACTGGGCTCTCTCTGGTCTCTTTCTGGTCTCCCTCTGGTCTCTCTCTGGTCTCTCTCTGGTCTCTCTCTGGTCTCCCTCTGGTCTCTCTCTGGTCTCTCTCTGGTCTCTCTCTGGTCTCTCTCTGGTCTCTTTCTGGTCTCTCACTGGGCTCTCTCTGGTCTCTTTCTGGTCTCTCTCTGGTCTCTCTCCGGTCTCTTGATGTGAAACTATCGCTCTCTGGAACACGGTGATGTCACATGAACACAAACTATTCCCACATTTTTAAACTGCAAAATATTTAGCTTTGGAGGAAAAAAGAAAACCACATCAATTTCATCAGCAATAAGCCCCAACTGCAATACTCGAGCTGCAGAGAAAAGCCATCTGTGTGAGGCAAGCCATACGGGCGAGGAGCCACAGCTGCCCTGGGGCGGACACACAGCCACAGCTGCCCTGGGGCGGACACACAGCCACAGCTGCCCTGGGGCGGACACACAGCCACAGCTGCCCTGGGGCGGACGGACTGAATCTCCACAGACTCATCAGGATCTGGGGGATTTTCTTTCTCGTCTTGAGCCTCGGACCCAAAACTGAGCCTTCTCCTTCACCATGGAGTCCTGGTGAGGCAGGATCTGAAGCCTGTCCTGGTCTCTCTCTGGTCTCGCTCTGGTCTCCCTCTGGTCTATCTCTGGTTTCTCTCTGGTCTCTGTCTGGTCTCTGTCTGGTCTATCTCTGGTCTCTCTCTGGTCTCTCTCTGGTCTCTCTCTGGTCTATCTCTGGTTTCTCTCTGGTCTCTGTCTGGTCTCTGTCTGGTCTATCTCTGGTCTCTCTCTGGTCTCTCTCTGGTCTCTCTCTGGTCTATCTCTGGTTTCTCTCTGGTCTCTGTCTGGCCTCTCTCTGGTCTCTCTCTGGTTTTTCTCTGGTCTCTCTTTGGTCTCTGTCTGGTCTCTCTCTGGTCTCTCTGGTCTCAGCACTCATGATCAGCAGATGCTTCAGTAGCTGGTGTCCTCAAACAAACTCAGCTGCACCATTCTGTCAGGAGGAATGGGACAAAATTCCACCATTTCACGGTCAGAGGACAACACATTTGACCTGCGTTCAACAGTTTAAAGGCCACTCTGCCTTTTATAATGCTACAATTTCACTTCATGAGAGGACTGTACTGACCTGAGTGAGCAGCAGGAGAACCAGGAACAGCAGGAGAACCAGGAGCAGCAGGAGAACCAGGAACATATGACTTCTCTTCATGTTCTAAGTCTTCAGTCTCAGGTTTGGACTCAGATAAAAAGTTCATGAGATCAGACTCGGTTTAAAAGGACTCGGTCTGAAGACGGTCCAGGCCTTTTAAAGCTCAGGTCTGTAACTTTAGTCTCATCAATAACACATGTTTAAAGCTGGGGTCTGTAAATTGGTCTCACTTTGCCACTTTTCTGTCTGGAAAGGCTGGTAGAGACCAGAGTGTGTTTAGCCGTGGTCTGAAAGTCCCGTACCTCAGCTTTAACCATCGTCTTCAGATCCGAGTCCTTGTCATTGTGTTTTCACTCTTCTTAAAACATTTTAGTTTGAACGTTACATTCTTGGGGCTCACCGTGGCATCCGGAGCGCTAGTTTGAGCATTAGCCTATCCACTTTAGCATTAGCATATGACGTTAGCATTCGGCGTTAGCATTAGCATCGTCATGTTCCGTTGGTGCTGTAGCCTGTGGCGGTTCAGTGCTGTTTTGTGTTGTTTTCGTTTTGGACAAGGTTTAAAACGTAAACAGGTCTGCTGCGTTCCAGACACAGAGTTTAATCTCTCTCTGGTCTCTCTTTGGTCTCTCTCTGGTCCCTCTCTGGTCCCTCTCTGGTCTCTCTATGGTCTCTCTCTGGTCTCTCTCTCTGGTCCCTCTCTGGTCCCTCTCTGGTCTCTCTATGGTCTCTCTCTCTGGTCCCTCTCTGGTCCCTCTCTGGTCCCTCTCTGGTCCCTCTCTGGTCTCTCTCTGGTCTCTCTCTGGTCTCTCTCTCTGGTCTCTCTCTATGGTCTCTCTCTGGTCTCTCTCTGGTTTCTCTCTGGTCTCTCTCTGGTCTCTCTCTCTGGTCTCTCTCTGGTCTCTCTCTCTGGTCTCTCTCTGGTCTCTCTCTGGTTTCTCTCTGGTCTCTCTCTGGTCCCTCTCTCTGGTCTTTCTCTGGTCTCTCTCTGGTCTCTCTCTCTGGTCTCTCTCTCTGGTCTCTCTCTCTGGTCTCTCTCTGGTCTCTCTCTCTGGTCTCTCTCTCTCTGGTCTCTCTCTGGTCTCTCTCTGGTCTCTCTCTCTGGTCTCTCTCTGGTCTCTCTCTGGTCCCTCTCTCTGGTCTCTCTCTGGTCTCTCTCTGGTCTCTCTCTCTGGTCTCTCTCTCTGGTCTCTCTCTGGTCTCTCTCTGGTCTCTCTCTGGTCTCTCTCTCTGGTCTCTCTCTGGTCTCTCTCTGGTCTCTCTCTCTGGTCTCTCTCTCTGGTCCCTCTCTCTGGTCTCTCTCTGGTCTCTCTCTCTCTGGTCTCTCTCTCTGGTCTCTCTCTCTCTGGTCTCTCTCTCTGGTCTCTCTCTGGTTTCTCTCTGGTCTCTCTCTGGTCTCTCTCTCTGGTCTCTCTCTGGTCTCTCTCTCTGGTCTCTCTCTGGTCTCTCTCTCTGGTCTCTCTCTGGTTTCTCTCTGGTCTCTCTCTGGTCCCTCTCTCTGGTCTTTCTCTGGTCTCTCTCTCTGGTCTCTCTCTGGTCTCTCTCTGGTCTCTCTCTGGTCTCTCTCTGGTCCCTCTCTCTGGTCTTTCTCTGGTCTCTCTCTGGTCTCTCTCTGGTCCTCTGGTCTCTCTCTGGTCCCTCTCTGGTCCCTCTCTGGTCTCTCTCTGGTCCCTCTCTGGGCTCTCTCTGGTCCCTCTCTGGTCTCTCTCTGGTCCCTCTCTGGTCTCTCTCTGGTCTCTCTCTGGTCCCTCTCTCTGGTCTCTCTCTGGTCCTCTGGTCTCTCTCTGGTCTCTCTCTGGTCTCCCTCTGGTCCCTCTCTGGTCTCTCTCTGGTCCCTCTCTGGTCTCTCTCTGGTCTCTCTCTGGTCTCTCTCTGGTCTCTCTCTGGTCCTCTGGTCTCTCTCTGGTCTCTCTCTGGTCTCCCTCTGGTCCCTCTCTGGTCTCTCTCTGGTCCCTCTCTCTGGTCTCTCTCTGGTCTTTCTCTGGTCCCTCTCTCTGGTCTCTCTCTGGTCCCTCTCTGGTCTCTCTCTGGTCTCTCTCTGGTCCCTCTCTCTGGTCCCTCTCTCTGGTCTCTCTCTGGTCCCTCTCTGGTCTCTCTCTGGTCTCTCTCTGGTCTCTCTCTGGTCCCTCTCTCTGGTCTCTCTCTGGTCTCTCTCTGGTCCCTCTCTCTGGTCTCTCTCTGGTCTCTCTCTGGTCTCTCTCTGGTCTCTCTCTGGTCCCTCTCTCTGGTCTCTCTCTGGTCTCTCTCTGGTCTCTCTCTGGTCTCTCTCTGGTCTCTCTCTGGTCTCTCTCTCTGGTCTCTCTCTGGTCTCTCTCTGGTCCCTCTCTGGTCCCTCTCTGGTCTCTCCCTGGTCTCTCTCTCTGGTCTCTCTCTGGTCTCTCTCTGGTCTCTCTCTGGTCTCTCTCTGGTCTCTCTCTGGTTCTCTGGAGTCTGGAGTGCAGTATTTCACTGGTTTGTGTTTGTCATGTTTTAGTTTTAGTCAGAAGTGATCTGTGAAGGCTGTTTCAGGCTGGTACTGGTCTAGACCAGGACTAGACTCTCTTTCTGGTCTCTGGACCAGGTTTAAACCAGTTCAGCCTGGGTGAACTCAATGTAAACATGTTGTGTTCTTTTCTGTGTTCTTTCTCAAGTCTCCCTCTGGTTTCCATTTAGTCTCTCTTCTGGTCTCCCTCTGGTCTCTCTCTGGTCTCCCTCTGGTCTCTTTCTGATCTTCATCTGGTCTCTCTCTGATCACTCTCTTGTCTCTCTCTGGTCTCTTTCTGGTCTCCCTCTGGTCTCTCTCTGGTCTCTCTCTGGTCTCTTTCTGGTCTCTCTCTGGTCTCTTTCTCGTCTCTTTCTGGTCTCCCTCTGGTCTCTCTCTGGTCTCTCTCTGGTCTCTCTCTGGTCTCTCTCTGGTCTCTTTCTGGTCTCCCCCTGGTCTCTTTCTGGTCTCTCTCTGGTCTCTTTCTGGTCTCTTTCTGGTCTCTTTCTGGTCTCTCTCTGGTCTCTTTCTGGTCTCCCCCTGGTCTCTCTCTGGTCTCTCTCTGGTCTCTTTCTGGTCTTCCTCTGGTCTCTCTCTGGTCTCTTTCTGGTCTCCCTCTGGTCTCTCTCTGGTCTCCCTCTGGTCTCCCTCTAGTCTCCCTCTGGTCTCCCTCTGGTCTCCCTCTAGTCTCCCTCTGGTCTCCCTCTGGTCTCCCTCTGGTCTCTCCCTTGTCTCTCTCTGGTCTCTTTCTGGTCTTTCTCTGGTCTCTCTCTGGTCTCCCTCTGGTCTCTCTCTGGTCTCCCTCTGGTCTCCCTCTGGTCTCCCTCTGGTCTCCCTCTGGTCTCCCTCTGGTCTCTCTCTGGTCTCGTACTGTTGTTTTAGAATGTGTTTTTTGAGGCTGTGACTGAAAATGGATTCTACATTAAAGTGTTTTACTGAATCTGTTGCTTCTGCGTCTGATTAAAGTTCAAAATGTTTAAACTCAGACTGTACACGGACAGACAATGCTAATCTGCTAGCTCAATGCTAACCTGCTAGCTCAATGCTAATCTGCTAGCTCAAGGCTAATCTGCTAGCTCAATGCTAATCTGCTAGCTCAATGCTAATCTGTTAGCTCAATGCTAATCTGCTAGCTCAATGCTAATCCGCTAGCTACATTCTAATCTAATATCTCAATGCTAACCTGCTAGCTCAAGGCTAATCTGCTAGCTCAATGCTAATCTGCTAGCTCAATGCTAATCCGCTAGCTCAATACTAATCCGCTAGCTCAATACTAATCTGCTAGCTCAATACTAATCTGCTAGCTCAATACTAATCTGCTAGCTCAATGCTAATCTGCTAGCTCAATACTAATCTGCTAGCTCAATACTAATCTGCTAGCTCAATGCTAATCTGCTAGCTCAATACTAATCTGCTAGCTCAATACTAATCTGCTAGCTCAATACTAATCTGCTAGCTCAATGCTAATCTGCTAGCTAAATTCGAATCTAATATCTCAATGCTAACCTGCTAGCTCAATGCTAACCCCCACTCTCTCTGATTCCTATTGATTACATGTAAGAGTAAAGTCAATCGGAGCTAGTAACTGTTTGTGTCCAGACTATAGACTGTAAATATTTCCCCTGTGGTCAAGGTCAAATTTATTTGTATTGCACATTTACAACAACACCAGCTGCTCAAAGTGCTTCACAGGCACAAAAAAGAAAAAAAGAAAAGAAAACAGCATAAAATACAGACACATACATGTAAAAGTAAAATGGTAAAACTCAGTGTTAAAAGCCACGGCGAAAACATGTGTCTTTAAACTAGACTTAAAAACTTCCAATGAAGCAGCTGCTTTACTGAACAGAGGTCACTGTTCCACAGTTTGGGGAAAGCAACAGAAAAGGCTCAGTCTGGTCTGGTCTGGTCTGGTCTGGTCTCCTGGAGTTTTGAGGTTGGTTTTCAGACCTCACTGATCTGACAGGAGCAGAGACAACAGCTCCGACAGATACCAGGGGCCAAACCATTTAGATATTTAAAAACCAGCATCAGAATCTAAAAATCAACCCTGAATGTGACAGGAGCCAGTGAAGTGATGTGCTCTCTCTGTACCTGTGAGCCAGTGAAGTGATGTGCTCTCTCTGTACCTGTGAGCCAGTGAAGTGATGTGCTCTCTCTGTACCTGTGAGCCAGTGAAGTGATGTGCTCTCTCTGTCCCTGTGAGCCAGTGAAGTGATGTGCTCTCTCTGTACCTGTGAGCCAGTGAAGTGATGTGCTCTCTCTGTACCTGTGAGCCAGTGAAGTGATGTGCTCTCTCTGTACCTGTGAGCCAGTGAAGTGATGTGCTCTCTCTGTACCTGTGAGCCAGTGAAGTGATGTGCTCTCTCTGTCCCTGTGAGCCAGTGAAGTGATGTGCTCTCTCTGTACCTGTGAGCCAGTGAAGTGATGTGCTCTCTCTGTACCTGTGAGCCAGTGAAGTGATGTGCTCTCTGTACCTGTGAGCCAGTGAAGTGATGTGCTCTCTCTGTACCTGTGAGCCAGTGAAGTGATGTGCTCTGTCCCTGTGAGCCAGTGAAGTGATGTGCTCTCTGTACCTGTGAGCCAGTGAAGTGATGTGCTCTCTGTCCCTGTGAGCCAGTGAAGTGATGTGCTCTCTCTGTCCCTGTGAGCCAGTGAAGTGATGTGCTCTCTCTGTACCTGTGAGCCAGTGAAGTGATGTGCTCTCTCTGTCCCTGTGAGCCAGTGAAGTGATGTGCTCTCTCTGTCCCTGTGAGCCAGTGAAGTGATGTGCTCTCTGTCCCTGTGAGCCAGTGAAGTGATGTGCTCTCTCTGTCCCTGTGAGCCAGTGAAGTGATGTGCTCTCTCTGTACCTGTGAGCCAGTGAAGTGATGTGCTCTGTCCCTGTGAGCCAGTGAAGTGATGTCCTCTCTGTACCTGTGAGCCAGTGAAGTGATGTGCTCTCTCTGTCCCTGTGAGCCAGTGAAGTGATGTGCTCTCTGTCCCTGTGAGCCAGTGAAGTGATGTGCTCTCTCTGTCCCTGTGAGCCAGTGAAGTGATGTGCTCTCTGTCCCTGTGAGCCAGTGAAGTGATGTGCTCTCTCTGTCCCTGTGAGCCAGTGAAGTGATGTGCTCTCTGTACCTGTGAGCCAGTGAAGTGATGTGCTCTCTGTACCTGTGAGCCAGTGAAGTGATGTGCTCTCTGTACCTGTGAGCCAGTGAAGTGATGTGCTCTCTGTGTCCCTGTGAGCCAGTGAAGTGATGTGCTCTCTCTGTCCCTGTGAGCCAGTGAAGTGATGTGCTCTCTCTGTCCCTGTGAGCCAGTGAAGTGATGTGCTCTCTCTGTCCCTGTGAGCCAGTGAAGTGATGTGCTCTCTCTGTCCCTGTGAGCCAGTGAAGTGATGTGCTCTCTGTACCTGTGAGCCAGTGAAGTGATGTGCTCTCTGTCCCTGTGAGCCAGTGAAGAGATGTGCTCTCTCTGTCCCTGTGAGCCAGTGAAGTGATGTGCTCTCTCTCTCTCCCTGTGAGCCAGTGAAGTGATGTGCTCTCTCTGTCCCTGTGAGCCAGTGAAGTGATGTGCTCTCTCTCTCCCTGTGAGCCAGTGAAGTGATGTGCTCTCTCTGTCCCTGTGAGCCAGTGAAGTGATGTGCTCTCTCTGTCCCTGTGAGCCAGTGAAGTGATGTGCTCTCTCTGTCCCTGTGAGCCAGTGAAGTGATGTGCTCTCTCTGTCCCTGTGAGCCAGTGAAGTGATGTGCTCTCTGTCCCTGTGAGCCAGTGAAGTGATGTGCTCTCTGTCCCTGTGAGCCAGTGAAGTGATGTGCTCTCTCTGTCCCTGTGAGCCAGTGAAGTGATGTGCTCTCTGTCCCTGTGAGCCAGTGAAGTGATGTGCTCTCTGTCCCTGTGAGCCAGTGAAGTGATGTGCTCTCTGTCCCTGTGAGCCAGTGAAGTGATGTGCTCTCTCTGTCCCTGTGAGCCAGTGAAGTGAGGCCAGACCAGACTTGTGGGGACCACAGTGGACAGAAAAACACCTGTTACTGAGATGGGATCGGAGCCAGTTCAAAGCGGAGGCTTTAAAACCAGCGTTTTCAAAAACAGATGTCAAATCTGTCCATCCTCCATCTTCTTCCCCTTAATCCATTTCTGGGTCGGGGGTGGCAGTCAGAGCTGCACCCAGTACACAGAGCACCAGCCCCTCACTGATCCTCCTGCAGGAGCTGAGTCCACAGGAGGACAGCTGCTCTGTCAGCAGCAACACAGCCTTGATCTTTCAGTGAGGGCTTCAGGCAAAGTGGGGTTAAGTGTCTTGCCCGTGGACACAACAACAGCAGACCTCAGTGGGAGTCTGTGGTGAAGGCTTCAGGCTCTAGGCCTGTGCTCCACCAACGGAGCCACAGTCGATCTATCTTTCTGGTCTCTGTTTTGTCTAAAAGAACTAAAATGGCAGAGAACCAGAGTCAGCTGTTAACATTGAAAACTCTGAGCAGTGCAGTCTCTGCTTTGTAGAGCTGTAAGACCTGAGTGAAATGTGTCAAAGATGCTGTTGCAATTGATTAGGGACAGTTTTCTCCATTACTTTGGCTAAAAAGGCAGCTTTGAAATAGGCCTGTGATGAGTAAGAACTGTGTTGTCCAAGGAAGAAGTGGCTGAACCACAGCTTGCTTAAAAACAGCCGGAACACAGCCAGATCAACGGGACGCATTATTAATAATAATAATTCTTTTGTTTTATAAAGCGCTTTTCTGGACACGCAAAGACTCTTCACATGTCATTATTCATTCACTCCATACACGGTGGTGATAAACTACTACTGTAGCCACAGCTGCCCTGGGGCACACTGACAGAAGTGAGGCAACCAGTATGTGCCATCGGCCCCTCCGACCACCACCAACCATTCACACACACACCAGACTCATTCTAGGCAATGGGGGTGAAGTGTCTTGCCTAAGGACACAACCACAGTTTGGCACTTTACAGCCGCAGCCGCCCCACAGTGGCTGGTGTTCCCAGAGGTTAAGTGTCTTGCCCAAGGACACAAGGACATCAATAACATAAAGCTCAACAACAGCATAAGCA